CGAGGCTAATGGCAATTTCATAACAGGACCAGTCGTCGGTGAAGGTCATTCGTCAAGTAAGCAGGCATCCGCAAGCCTGATTAATGAGCGACGATGGGCGCGGCCAGTGCCCCAGGGCCCGCTGACTACCATACACAAACTTGCACAGTGAGATACCTGCACAATGAGAAAAGGATTAAAAAGCAAACGAGACTGGGGGCTGGCTGACCTTGGCGACGTTGGGGTTGGCTTTGTGAGGCACTGGAGCGGGCGGTAGTTTCTCAAAGGGTACTGGCTGCGGCAAAACTTGATACAGCTCGTGTTCAGTGGCCGCCGGAAGATCCATGGTCGCTGGCCGTGGCTGAGCTCGCTTTTCAACAGCCTCGTGAGCGACAATTTCACCCGTGTAGTGTCGAACTGTGAAGCTGTAAAAAGGAAGTAATAAAGGCTTAATACAACAAAGCAGCCTGAGATAGCGCTCCAAAACTCACGTCATGGAGACAGCACGGAAAAATAAGGATAACTAGAGATTTATAGTTAAAATGAATAGGATAGGAGCGATAAAATGAGTGACAGAATGATTGGTGCGAATCACTGCTCTGTGCATCACTCACGCTGCGTCAGTGCTGACATCAGGTCGCGGTTTCGAGCCTCGGATGTGGCACCACATGCGGTTAGGTATGACTGGCTAATGAGGGCTAATAGGCCAGAAATGGCTATTGTAGTCTCCCTTTCTTTGCCGGCAATACTATCTGCCTAGACTATTCGCCGCTATGTGGCTGCTAGCAGATCTCGAGGATGAGCCGCAAGGTTGAGCGGGACAAATGCGTTCCGTTAGCAATCGATGAACCTGTCAGTATTAGTGCCAGTACCTCCCGATCTAAATCGGCAAGGTAATGAACCTGTGACTCAGTGGTTAGAGCACTGGACTTCCGATCAAAACTTCACGGGCTCGGGCTTTGGGTGGGGCACCACCTGCGGGTAAGTATGACTAGAGGGACGGCATCTTAGCGAAGGCCTGTAAGTGCCCTTGATTGAACCGAAAGCATAACGGGGAGATCATTGTCCCTAATCTAAGCAGCAAACACCTCCTACTACGGTATTGAATATTGCCTATTGTAACGGACA